AGAAATTAAACTATGTATCATTCCTGAACAAGTCCTGAATGATCTGTCTTTGCAAACTTGGTCCATGTGAGCTTCCAGGTCCCAAAGTCCTGTCCATGTTCGATCCAACCCAGAGTCACAGTCTCCCAGGCAATGTGGTTTAGTGAAGACAAACAAGGACCAGACTTACGACTTTTCCCATTACTCTCTGCCCTGCCTCCACCACACTCACATTCTCACAGCAAGGAAATTATTTTCCTCCTTCTTTCTTCTCTAATCTACTTTGCTTAAATTTATTTAGAGGAATGATCATTCTGCCTTACATAAGTAGTTATATTGCCTTTATTTTCCTACTAGGTTTTTAAGTCCTTGAAGACACAAAACATCTTATTTATTTTTGACTCATGCCAAAAAGTATAAAATAAGTACTCATAAATGAATTGAACACAGTGAACACTCACGTTGTCAACTGCAACAAAGTTCTGTGATCAGACCCTCTAAAGTCTCAGTCATTTGCTGCTGAGAACTCTCAAGTTGGGTGGGAAAGACCATGTAAGTATTTTTAGGCTCCAAGATATAAATTTGGGAATAGAAGCTTCTCATCAATGGACATAATCTTTCTTTATTTTTTCTCTGAGGGCAACTGAATCAGGACCTCATCTATGTTCACGTGAAATTATTTCCTTTTCTGTTTGTGCACTGGACGACCAGCATTTATGAGCTGAGTCTGTCAGCATCCAGTGCGGAGAGCCCCAGAGCGCTCTGGGTTAACCTCATGACCAGTCCACGTGCCTCCGTTATGATTCCTAGACTAAAGGGCTCAAGTCGTGGGAACAGGACCTGTCTCCCCACACCACGCTACTGCAAGTCGCACAGAATTCTAAGTGGCTCAAGTGAGTGGACTTCAGCTGGCCATATGGATGGACAGGGCAGGTGGCTGGCACTGGGAATGTCACCAGCCTTGATTAATTCCTCTCCAATTCAGAAAACTTTGAAACAATCATTTGATTACCGAAGAATCCATTTTCCTATAAGAAGGTACTCAGCTGATGACCAAAAAAAAAAAAAAAAAAAAAAAAAATTCACTTACTTCTTACATTTCTAGCTAATTTCTAACTTGCTTTTTATTTAATCTCTTTGGAAATTTTCTTTATGATTTTTTTTTTTTGGTGGAACCAGGGATTGAACTCAGACCCTTGCCCTTGCCAGGCAAGCACTTATTCTACTGAGCCATCTTCCTGGCCCCAGAAATTTTCTTTATGAAAATCATTATTTTTTTAATTTTTAAAATATGGGCAATGGGAAAATAGGTCAAAAAGAAATAGCACTAAGGGCTGGCCAAATATCTCAGAGGATTAAAGTACCTGCAAGCAGGTGCAGGGCCAGGGGTTCACTCCCCGGGCTTGCTGTGCTGGCCCCACCCCTGGGGTGCACTGAGACTGTGATGGAGACTGGGAGTGGTGGCATGTTCCCATAATCCCAGCTCTTGGGAGGCTATGAACAGGTGGATCACTACAAGTCTGATCTATAGTAAGACCCTGAACACCCTGTGGACTCTTCCCTAAAGTACAGAAAAAAAAAAGAAAGAGAGAGAGAGAGAGAGAGAGAGAGAGAGAGAGAGAGAGAGAGGCTAAAAATGACCTCGGTAGCATTTCACCTCTCATCCCCACTTTCTGAAGTCAAGACATCTGTCAGAAAAACAAGAGGGTGCAACTGAAGTTAACCATGTAACAGGATGTCACAAACAGCTGGTCTACCTGACTTACACCAGGAATTACTTTGTATTCTAACAATTCTCTGGGATCCAACAAAAGGGACATATGAAGGAAATTCAGAAAAGAGCAATAAGGGCCAGCCAGATAGTTCAGCCGACTAAAGCGGCTGCTCAGGCGACAAAGGGGCCAGGGTTTGATTCCCAGCTTGCCCTGCCGACCCAGCCCCCAGGGCATGCTGAGACCGCAAATGAGACTGTCTGGGGTGGCATTCGCCTGTAATCCCAGCATTTGGGAGGCTGAAAACAGGAGGATACTACAAGACCCACCTGTGTAGTGAGACCCTGTAAACCCCACAGACTCTGTACTTAATACATAAAAAGAAAGAAAAGAGCAACAAAATTATAAAGGAAGTGTGAGGCTGATTGATGAGGTATATCACGAGGGCTAAGTACGCATGGCTCAGCCAGGCAATAACCAGCGGAAGACACAATAAGCGTCTTACAGAGAACGTCACTACTGTGGAAAGGAGAGGCAGGTGTCACCCTGACAGTGGGGACACTTGCTCCTTCCCATTATTAAACATGGGGCACCCAATGCTTTGGATTTCAACTGTCTGCTACAGGAGTAAGCTCCAATGTTTTCTAAAATCTTTTAGAATAATGGGAAAGGTAACATAAGGGTGATGAAAAGTTAACATTTTACCCTTTCGAAATGTAGGAGGTTCTTCCAATGTGTTTGGGATAGGAGCACTGACTGATAAATAACAAATAAATCAATGAATGGTATCTCTGAACCAGGAAAGGCAGATATGGGCCCTTGGTGTTGCGCCTGGGAAGCAGGAAAAGGAAACAAGGAGAAAAGATAACCCCACCAACGTTCTGCAGATTGACAACCCAGAGTTCCCATTAGTTAGAGGCCAGGCCCAGAAATCCAGCATGCATATCTAATAAAGTGTGCCCAGCTTCCTCCAGAGCCCCCACCTGCCACATGGTGCATTTCAAGCCCAGAGAGACCTCCTGCCTGCATCTGTCCTTTGGCCTAGCCCAGGGCCCAGGACCATGAAGGGTGCAGGGAAGCTGCAGGCAGGAGCAGATGGGAGGTGGCTGATAGACTGAGGTAGCCTCCGCCATCACTGAGGACCCAGGAGCCCCCAGTTCTTTCCACTGTCACCTTACCCAGGGCAGTGAGGGACAAGTTACAAAACTCAAAGTGAGGTGTGCAGACACTCAAAAGGTCCAAGAACACTGACCACTTGCCTTTCTCTGACGCTGGGGTTGGGATTGTCACAGTGAGTATGGCCTGGCATGCTTCGGGACCTCCAGGGGCTGCTAAGCACAGGAAGCAAACTGACCCAGAAATGGATCCTGATTATTAAGTGACAGCAGGGACAAGCAAGGGCCTGCAGAGGACAACATCTCTTCCAGGATGGAAGGTGTTCAAGACATGGTCCTGGCAGCAGGGAAGCGTGACACGACGCAATGACTGCCACATGGCTTCACTTTATCACTTAATCACTTTACCCAAAGGTCACTGGCTCGGAGCACTGGTGACAAACTCCAGTGGATCCACGCTGTTTCTCCTTCCAGGCCTGCCTTCTTCCTGACAACCCTTTCTTTCCTGGGGCACAAATGGGCTTCTTTCCTACCCCTACCAGACCTGCCCATCAGCCCAGCATGAGCCCAAGAGCACCTGTTCCATTACCCTCTAGATTGGGTCCGAGGGAATGGGACATTCCTCCTGCCCATAATAGCCAAGATGAGGAAGGACGCTGGTGCGGCAGGCTGTGGGAGAAGCTGGTCTGGGCTGTGACAACACAGAGAACCGGTAGCGAGCCCAGAAGTCCCGTTGCCCTTCACGTGATTGTAGTGGCCTCTGACATCTCGCAGCACCATTCCCACGGGAGTGATTGCCCTGTGTGACGCTCAGTATTCTTCCAACGAAATCCTCTTCCAACCAAAACTCATTCACGCTTGGTTTGGACCGTCACTCATAACAAAAGGACTTGTGAAGGCATTTGGGGGTAGGGGTGAGCTCCTGCTGTGTTCGTCATGGCGTTTCCTTTTACTCTTTCCAAGAAGATTCGGCCCAAGCTCAATGCTGACGGCCTATGGTCACTCATACTCGGGAACTGGGGTCAACATTCTGCTCCCCAGTAGCTATGGCACCGGTTGCTCCCTACTTTGGCTTCGGGAAAGCCGGCTTTTGCTTCCTAGGTCACCACAATGTTAACTACCCAGAGCCACCCTCGGGTGGGTCGAGTGGGGCCCAAGAATCTGTATCTTTTTTACATGTTGCAGCCAGATGTTACCATCTCTGGACCAGGGGACCCCTGTGGCCCAGCACCGTCAAGAGTATATGGACGCCCCAATCCAACACGCAGAGTGACCAGCCCATGTCTGACACAGGCTTGACCACAGCTCTGTCTCGTTCCGAATTACCAGGAGCAGGGAGCTTAGCTGCTTCTTTTCCAAGTCTTGAGTTACTTCGCAGGCCTGTACAGTGTTTCTGATAAAATGTCCTCCCACGGCTGCTACCCTCGGAGGAGCTGGGCACTGGTTTTCCAGGAGTGGGGTAGGGGGAGGAAGCAAGCAATGTCATCTCCAGAGCAGGAAGCCTGAGCTCTCTGGAGAGGAGACAAGCTTGTTACAGCAGCTGCTCTTGGAAAGCGGATGGCGGTGGAGAGGTACTTGATCCACCTTCAGCTTTCTCCCCGGTTTGGTTCATTTCCTAAGCTCTGGGCGGCTCCGGACTCCGCAGCTGCACGTTTGCCTCTGGGCTGCAGCCGCGCTCTGGAAGCTGGAGAAAAAGAACTTTTTCTTTCTTTTATCTGTATTTTATTAGGTTTTCCTTGGTTCCTATCGAACCTGTGATATTCGAGGCTCCAGCCTGTGAAACTGGATGGTTCGAGTCAAACTAACCTCGCTTGGGCCCAGAGCGCGCCCCGCCCCAAGCAGGGGCGCCTTCCCTCCCTTCCTCCCATTCACGCGCCCCAGCGGCGCCGAGCTCCGCGGTAACCCGGCCCGGCCGATCCTCCGCGACGGCCCAGCTCTGGCTCGGACCCCGCGCAGGGCGGGCTAGGGAGCGGCGGCCACTCCTGGGGAAGCGGGGGCAGCTTCCGGGGGGACGCGGGCGTCTCCTCCTACGCTCTCGCCCGGCCGGCGGCCGCACCCGCCGCTCCGCGCCGTGGGAACAGCCGTCGCCACCCACAGCTCTGCCGCGCCCGCCGCGGAGCTGGGCCAATCGCCATGGCAACGCGGCGGCGCCCCGGCCCGCCCGCCCTCCTCTCAGCGCAGCCAACCGCGCGGGCCCGGCGCGCCCCATAAAACCTGAGCGGCTGCCGCCGCCCCCCTGGCCGGGACCTGGCGGCACGGCGCCGAGCGCAGCCCGCGACGCCCGCTGTCCCGAGGCGCGAGAAAAGGCTGAGCATGCGGGGCGCGCAGAGCATGAGGCTCCTTCTGCAGCGGCGGTGCCTCTGTCTGGCGGTCCTGACCCTGCGCCTCCTGGGCCAGGTAGGTGGCGCGCCCGGCGATGCCCGGAGTCCAGGTCCTGGCGCGGGGGGCCCGGGTAAAAGGTCCCCTCCGCTTCTCCGCCCTCGCCCAGGTCTCAGCTACCGCGCGCTGCCCCTCGCCGTGCCCGCGCCAGTGCCCTGAGCCTCCGCCGTCCTGCGCCCCGGGGGTGCGCGCCGTGCTGGACGGCTGCGCCTGCTGCCCCGTGTGCGCCCGCCAGCGCGGTGAGAGCTGCTCGGAGCTGGCACCCTGCGACCCCAGCGGCGGGCTCCACTGCGACCGCAGCGCGGACCCCAGCAATCAGACCGGAGTGTGCATGGGTAAGGGCCCGCGGCTTCCCTCGCTGCTTGCTCCTCTCCTCCTCATCACCCAGAGGGACCTAAGCGCGTCGTGATCCGCCGGGTTAGGGGGCGCTGAGTCGGGGTCACGCGTGGTCCGCGGGCACCTGAGAAGCCTGAGAAGAAACCTGTTGCAGGAGAAGAGAAGCTCCCGTCGCTGGCCTCCCTCGAGAGGAGTCTAATAGACGGGAGGGAGGCAGCGTGGGGGGCGAGCGACATCATATCCTTTGGACACTTCTAGGGGACACTTAGGGGTGACGACAGCTGGGGTTACTCATGCCTTACAGTCCCGGCCCCCTGGGCACAGCAGGCTTATTTTCACACCTATAATGATCCACTGTGAGCTGGTGCAGCGCCTAACCTCTTGGGGGGACTATGTAACCCCTGTCTGGGCTCTCAGCAGCCGGCCAGTCCGGACTCCTGAAACATGATCAGTTCGAGATGGATTTCCCACGAGGCAGGTCACTGCGGTGGAGGCTGCCCCGCCACCCCCTGGATGGCAGACTCTCCGTGATGTACTGCACTTCAGTGCCAAGAAACCCTCCCTGGTCCCAGGCTTCCCAGCTAACTTATTTGGAAAGCATGAATTGCACTTTTATTTTTAAAGTCTAAACTACCCCCGCAGGAAAACCTAAGGTGGGTCTTGCAGAATGACTGTCCTTGGCCCCAGTAGTGTCTCTCCACAGTTGATATTCCTTTCATCTTACAAATGGAAAAGTTTGAGGGAGCATCTCAAAAGAAGGCAATAGAGGACATTCTAGAAGCCACCAGTGAGCCTGCTTATTTGCCCTGCAGTGTGGGCTCCGCACTGTGCCTCTTTCCTCCTGCAAAGGGGCGAGGTGCTCTTGGCGAGCTGGATGCTCCTGGGGCCCCTTCCTGTTCTGGGAGGATGTCTCTTGCCCTCCGAGGTGCTCGGCCCGGACTGAGGACCTCGCTTTGGGATACACCCTCCAGTTCTCACACAGCTCCCCTGGGTTTGTGCTCTTCTTCCCCCGCCTCTTGCCTCTTCCCCTCCCTCATGTTCAGTACTAGAAGGAGACAACTGCGTATTCGATGGGGTCATTTACCGCAGCGGGGAGAAGTTCGAGCCCAACTGCCAGTACCACTGCGCCTGCCGAGACGGGCAGATTGGCTGCGTGCCCCGCTGCCAGCTGGACGTGCTGCTGCCGGGGCCCGAGTGCCCGGCTCCCAGGAAGGTGGCAGTGCCAGGAGAATGCTGTGAGAAGTGGACCTGTGGCCCCCCTGAGGACGGGGGCCTGGGCAGCCTGGCCCTTCCAGGTGAGCAGCACAGGCAGCGGTCGGCGGGGAGGCAGCTCGAGGCCAGTGCGCCTCTGGGCCGGGCTGAGCAGTCCGCCTCTTTTTCGGCCGCGCAAGGGTGGATGCCAGATGCCCTAAAGTCCGAGCTGTGTCGCTAAAGCAAGCACCCAATTTATCCTGGAGAATCTGACAGACTTAGCGCCCTCTTTGTCCTTTTTTTTTTTTTCCTCTCATTTTGGTCCATCCGTCCCAAATGCCTGTTATTAGCGCCACAAAAGCAGAAGTCAAAATCATCCCCTTTGTCCTCCAAACTTTGCAATCTCTCTGCTGTCTCAGGACCTGCAACTTGTCCCTGGACAGGTGTCATACAGAAGTGTTATCTTCCCAGATGCCATGGGCAGGCTTAAGGGACACTTCCAGACTTGTTATTCTTTCTGCACTATCTTATCAATAGCACAGTTTGAGGGGAATCTCAAAAGTCTGTAGAAAATACTTTACATACCATTTTCAGCCAATTATTTATACTGGGAGCATCCCAAATTTCAGTCTTTCTGAGGTCAGAAATTATCAGCCATGCCTTACAGATAGGAAAACTGCCACGTAGAAGAGATATCCCAAAGCCACGCATATGAAGTGTCGAGGCAGAACATTTTGCAAACAGGGCCCAAGTGCGCGTGTGCGTGTGTGTGTGTGTGTGTGACAAGTTGTACCAACTGGAAACAAAATACTACTTTCATGACTAGCTTGACTTGGCCAGTTCTTATACATAAAAATTAAAATTTTATCGTGGTCTTTCTTATGCACAGAGCCCCACGCTGAGAGGGCTGAGGATGTAGCCCCTTGGTAGAGTCTGCTCAGCATGCTCAAGGGTGCTGGGTGCAACCCCAGCACTGCCAGAATCACATGCGGGAAACCCTGCAGCTCATGGAGCAGCTGGTGGTGGTACACTGTTCTGTGTTCTCAAGCCACGGAGCTTAATGGCGAGTTGTCTTAAGGTCACATGCACTGTCATCCACACAAAGATGGTTTTAAATGTAACCATGTGTCCGCCTTGTATTTCTTGTTTGGTGTTAATAAATAAACCCGATTCTGTGCCCGTGGCACTCAGGGGCTCAGTGAGCTCGGAGCTGAATGAGATTCACTTGCTCTTGTTGGCTGAGCAGCCACCTGTGGGTCCCACACTTTCCCCAGAGCACTCCCTTCTGCTCCCACAGCCTACAGGCCAGAAGCCACAGTGGGGGTCGAAGTGTCAGACTCCAGTATCAATTGCATCGAGCAGACCACGGAGTGGAGCGCGTGCTCCAGGAGCTGCGGCATGGGCCTGTCCAGCCGGGTCACCAACAGGAACCGCGAGTGTGACATGGTAAAGCAGACCAGGCTGTGCATGGTGCGGCCCTGTGAACCAGAGCCTGAGCAGCCCGTGGAGAAGGTAGGACACTGGGGAAGCCAACCGGGGAAGGTAGTGGCCTGGCCTCCTTGGAGCCCATCCCTCTGAGGTCCCCATGATCCCAGGTGATTCAGAGCTTAGTGCTGGCCAAGTGTTCGCTCCAGAGAAAGGGCAAAGAGATCTGGAATCCAGATCTAGAACCTTCAGGTTTTCCTTTTTAATGTACTGTGTGTAAATACACACAGCTCGCAGCAGATCCACAGGAAGGAGGGTGGGGCCAGGCAACCAAAATACTTTACCCTAGTCAAAAATGGCTGGCAAATCCCATTCACTCCTGGAGAACGTTGGCTTCAAGTTGCCAACTGATGCAGCTGAATTTAGAGAGGGGTTTCAGGCTATGGTTCCTTATGTGCTCACAGTGTGAGGTAGCAGGATCAGGGCTGTGTCTGCCTCCCTCACCCCACGGTTCCCAGCACCCAACCTGCTATGAGATGAATAGCTGCTGATAAATACACGAATGGGCACCTGGGAGTGACTGTTATTATTTTTAATAGCTTTAATACATTCACCAGCATAAAATAACATAAGCCAGATAAAACGGTGCGTGACTTTCTCTTTGCTGGCATCCTGTCAACTGAGTGTGTGAACTCTGTGTCAGGTGAGCAGATTAGAAGCTGTGACTGCTGCCTGGTGGTGTCTCCAGCCTCACTGGCATCAGACAAATGGGACCACCACACTGAGCCATTACACGGACCTTTGTGCAAACCCAGGGCCCAAACAGAGCCCTACCCGAGGGATTTGAGACTTACCAGTCTCTCAGCTATGGAAGTGCCACCATTGCTGCACTTAAAGGGACAACCCTGGAGCCACACAACTTGCCTCAGGTCCTGCGCATCAGCATGAATTAGCTGGGTGGCCCTGGCAGCTTTCTATACCTCTCAGCCTGGGTTCTCGCCTCCTACAATGGGGTCATTAAAAGCGTCTACCTTGAAGTTACCCTGAGGATCAGGTAGAGTGACTAAGTACACTATTAACATTAGTTGTCATTTCTCAAAGTGACAAATGGCATTTTTTGGTAAAAATCCTAGAGGTTGTATTGGTATGCCTATGGCTACCTGGCTCTAGGATTTCTTTTGGTCCATCTTAACTCTAGGTTTCTTCTACCAACTCAGAAAGAATGCTTAAAAACACCTTTCCTCTGAAACTAAGCCTAGAAGATGCACCTTCCCTCAGCAAGGAACCGTGTGTAACATAGCTGTTCAGGTTCACCCACACAAGCAGTCACACACACACACACACACACACGTCTGTTGCTGGCTTCTGCCTTTTTCTCCAGGTTTACAAGAATGTAAACTAAATATTAAAACATTGAACACACCAAAAAGGAGGAAACAAGAAGCTTTGAAATATTTTTGAGGGGGCCTGCCTCTTAGCTCAGTTCTTTAAGTGGCTGCTTCCACAAAGCAGTCAGGCTCAGGTTGCTGTGGTTCGATCCCCACAACACAAGCCAGCCAGTCATGCCTTGAAGGCATTCGGAGAAAAAAAAAAAACACTTCTGAAATATTTTCGAGGGCATAGTAAATTCTTTACTAAGATTTTTGCATCTTATATCTGTAAAATAGGGCCTGTTCTATGGCTGCTTTTCACGAAATTGATATTTCTTTCTTGTGAGCTGCATCCCACTTAATATTTGGAGGTGTATATTTAGCTGTTCATGTATAGTGTGCATATATCATAAAGGTTCTAGAAATACATTTGGAATTTATAGGGAAGTCCTGGCATGATTGGTTTTCATACTTCCAAGAGACTCTTGAACCCAAGACAGTAGGTCTCAGGGTGCAGACCCTGCCGCAGCATCTCAGTGCTTGTAAGAGTGCACATCATGAATGCTGAGTACAAGAAATGGAATGCAAGACCTAGCAAACTGTGTCGCGACAGACCGCAGGTGGCTGTGGCACACACCGGGGCCTGGGGCCTCTGAGGCAGGAGGCTCAGCACCAGCTGCACACTACCTTGGAACGTGAGGAGTGGAGAACCGCAGCACAGGGAGAAGTCAGCAGTCCTGTGCGGAATCATCAGGGTCCAGGGTCCCCATTGTCTTTTCAGTAAATTCTCCACTTTCATAGAAAAGAACCTTAAATCCCATTATCTTATAATTTCCTGAGGTCATCGTATAATATTAGAGGATTTTTCATCAGACAAATTCAAATATTTAATGTTTTCTGATCTATAAAGTTGGACAGCTTTTCCTTCTAGATTTATTTTCTTTCTCTTTGTAATACCTAAAGATATATTTGGCAAAAACAAAACTTGTTACAGTAGTTTCATAAGGGTAGGTTTTGTTATCATATATGTGCATGCCTTTTCATGCTGTTAAGGTCAAGAGATGATGGAACACAACCAGCCACTGTGTTCACATTCCAGGCAGAAAGAAAAAGAAATACAGGAAACAATAAAGAATTGTACCTGTCCAAGAGGCAAAGGATTTCCCAGATTCTTTTTAGTTTATGTTATCATTGGCCACAAATTTGTCACAAGGCCATTCCAAGCTCTTAGATATTCCAGGGAAGGAACTCTCATTACTGATCACATAGTCCAACAAAATTAATGTTCTTTTAGCAAATAAGTAAAACTGGTAGCTATTAGGAAGGTAACTAGCAAGTTGTTCCATACCCATAAAACAGTAGCTCAGAGAAATGATAGCCATCCCATGCCTTGCTTCTTTTCTTTTGCCTCAGAGAGGAAAAAAGTGTCTGCGCACCAAGAAGTCGCTCCAGCCCATGCACCTGCAGTACGAGAACTGCACCAGCCTGCTCGCTTACAGGCCCCGGTTCTGTGGGGTCTGCAGCGATGGCCGGTGCTGCACGCCCCACACCACCAAAACCATCCATGTGGAGTTCCAGTGCCCGTCGGGGCAGACTCTCAGGAAACCACTCATGGTCATTGGCACCTGCACCTGTCACACCAACTGTCCCAAGAACAACGAAGCTTTCCTCCAGGACCTGGAGCTAAAGACCAGCACGGGGGACATGTAAGAAATACCCACAGTGGCAAGCTGTAGCTGTTGCAGACCCACCATCCAATGAATATAAGAAGAAAAATGAAGACCTATAGTTGGTTGCATCCTTGAGTCCTGTGTGTCTTTCTGTGATCATCCGAGGTCACTTGTATCTGTCTTTTGTTTATTGAAAGATATCTGAGCTGTAAACTTGGAATCAAGGAAAGCTCAGGCATGGCTTAGGGATGACTGACTTGCTTATGATGTTTATGACAAATGCAAATTTCTGTACCTTTAAGAAGTCAAGTATATGATTTCCTTTGTAGACTATCACATGACACTCATCCTGTTTCATTGTGCACTAGTGCAATTTCCAAGGAAATGTCACTGTAGTGAATGACATGGTGAAGCCTAGGATCACACTGAACATGTCTTCATAGAAGCATTACCGCATATTTGGAGGTTTGGCTGCTTGGGTCTCCAGTGGGCTGCCTTTTGGCGTGGGTGAGCTCTGCACTTGAAGCCCGGGACCCAAGGAAACAGACAGCTGTTCAGCGTGTCCAGAGACTGTTAACTCTATTCTGCAGTGTGCTAGGAAACGTGCTGTATCTACAGCAGTGAAGTGTTTGGTAATTAAGTGGACTGGAGTTAAGAACTTTCTCCATTTTAGATCAACTGACTCCTTTCCACTAGAAAGAAGCTCAACAGGAAACTCCCAATACATAAATGACTGGGCCCTCACAGCCCTCGTACCTCTCTATACTGTAGACTGCTGAGGTCACTAGTTTTTAATTAACCAGAAGCAAAATATATCAATAAAGATCTTCTCATCAGTAAGTATACTGAGGCCCTGAGCACTTGATTACGACCTTTCAAATGTTCTTTATGTGGAATTTTGAAAAAACATAAGGGACAAAATCAGGATGATTGTGATGGTGAGGAGCACAAATTTTGTGAGAGTTTAAAATGATTTAGATATACTCCAAACCTATTCTTGGGTTATAATTATGAAAACACATAAAAACATATATATACATATGTGTATCGGCTAGGTCAGGCTGACAAGATAGGCTACAAAATTAAAACTATCCATTCCGCAATGTTGCTGTACGTGTTCCATTTTTTCCTCCCTTGAAGTATTTATAAAAGCATAAATTATGCATTTTGTAAAATACTCTTTTTTGATGTCTCTACATGTCAGACACGACCCAGAAGAGCATGATGCTGTATGTATGTGACTCTGGCACTGCTTCTGTGCCCCCAAGCTTGGTATGGTTGTTCACTGAAAATAAAAATGTATGGATTAAACAAAGCATCAGTCAGTAGCACCTGTTGGAAGCAAGCTGCTCTTTGGGGCAGGCTTAGAACTTCTTCTACAAAGGGAAGCAGAAGTCACCTCTTACTGTCAGGTGATCACCGTTGCCAAGACCTCAGGTACTCGCCACCATTACCACTAGAGTCATCTACAACCTGACCATTTCTTCCCAGATAACGCACCAGATATCTGTATGTACTGAAAGTTGAACTTCTGGTCTGACCAGGCAAACTCCCATCCTTGACTTCCTCATCTTATTAAAAGGCTCTCTGGCCTCCTAATTTCTCAGCCCACACTGTTAACACTGCCCAGGTCAGTCGGCTGTTGATAGAACCATAGATTTGTGGATCCACACCCATAGGTTCTGCATTCACAGATTCAAGCAACCAGGGCCTGCAAATACAGGAAAAGCAAGCATTACACTGGTCCTGACCTGTGCCATGTAGCAGGCCTATGATGGTTGAATCTGAACTCAACAGGTAACTATTCTCTAAACAATACTGTATTAACAGCATTCACATAGCATTTACTATGTGTTAGGTATTGTAAAGTAACTCAAAAATTACTTAAGGTAGAGGCGAGGATGTGCATATGTTACATGCAAATTCTGTCCCCCTTGGTGTCAGGGATATGAACATCTGGGCATCACGGCTTCTACCAGGCATCCTGGAACTCTTCTCCCCTGGATACCAGGGGACAACTGTTTCTGTGATGATGCAGAACATAACCATGACCAGGCTGCCATCTGGGGAGTGTGAGTCATGGTTAATAGGAGTTTAGTGTTTTGGAAGCATCTGGCTGATGTGGTCTAGAGCTAAGACTTCCATAATGTAAAGGGAAAAGCCAACTTTATTTCTCCCACTTCACTTCCTCTGCAGCCTCCTTCCCAGCCTTCTAGTTTTTGTTTGTTTTTAAAGTAAATCAGAAAACAAGTTCTAGCTTATTTGCATGGAATGATCATAGAGAAGGTCTTAGCATTTCCAGCACCTCATGTGCTTTACCTGCGTGTGTTGTGTGCTTTGCAAGATGGCCCCATGAGGCACGTACCCTTCATGTCCTCTGGTTACTAATGAGAAAACCCTTCCAAAGAAAAGTAGGAGATCTCAAACTCAAACTTTTACTGCACCTAACGATACCAGGTGGGTCCACAGGCCAAAAGTCATCTATCTTTGAAGCTGTCCAATGCCATGTTGCTCATCATAGCAAAAAAAAGGGAAAAGTTTAAGAATCCAAAGGGCTAACCAGATAGCACAGTGGATTAAAGCAAATGCTTAGGCAGATGCAGGGACCAGGGTTCAATCCTCTGTATGCTGTGCAAGCCCCACCCTTGGGGCATGCTGAGAAGGCAATTGAGACTGGGCGTGGTGGTGCATACCTGTAATCCCAGCACTCGGGATGCTGAAAACAGGAGGATCACTACAAGTCTGATCTGTGTAGTAAGACCATGTAGACCATGTACTAAATACATAAAAGTACATAAATAAATAAATATCCATCAGTATAGATTTGGCTAGACAAATCATAGTATATGTGTTATGACCAAAATGATTATTAAAGTGAGAGTGTAAGAAATCATACTGCAAGCAAACACACACAAGAAAAGTATAGAGCTATCAAAAGAGTGACTTCCTTTTGTTCAAAACAAATATTTATGAGCATCAATCAAAGGAAACCTGGAAGACAATATGCAGCAAAATAGTATTAGTGATTACAGCAAGTCTGACCCATATTTTCCTTTTTATGATTTCTGTATCAATTTTCTGAGAACATAGAGTTTTATAACCAAGAAAGAAAATGAAGCCTGAATTGAGATAGAGCAGTCTCCAACCTCTGCTTGTCCACAGGACCTCATTCGCCCCTTTTGGGGCCCAAAATGCTAAATTCATCTGCCTTACTCATTTGGCATGTACTTGCAGTTGCTTCTGTGAGCCTAGCGTTGTTCTGAGCCCTGAGAACACAGCTGTGAGTAAGACAGAGAATAAGTTAAACCTTTCGATTATCCTATTTTCTGACATTTACATGGCATTGAGAAAGGCTGGCAAAAGCAGAGAATAAGCAAAGAGAACAAATCGCAGGTAGTGAATACACAATCTAAGGTGACATGGGGGAGGTCTTAGTAGCTAGTTCAGCATCCAGTAGTGGTGGAATTTGTTCCTGAAAAGATGACACCTGCTTGGATAATAGGAGCCCTTTGGATCAGGGGAAGCAGCTGGGGCCAAAAACAAACAAGCAAAATCTAAACTTGCAGCATTCAAGAAGATCCATTTGGCTCTCCCAGTGCCCTCTGGCTGATCCCATACACCCTACCGCAAGCATCTCATGACCCACGATTTGGCCTTCTTTCTGTCTCTGACACGCAGCAGGACCTCGCGATACACCCATCAAACTCGTGAATGAGTAAAGGGACAAAGGACTTGTGCTTTGACGACAGACGGAATGTTCTTTAGAATAAGTGTTAGGGCTTTACGCTTCCATGCCCATTACCTCCACTCACTCCTCGCTGTCTGACATACACAAATGCACTGACAGGTGCACTCCTGAGATGACCATCACAGGTTCAGAAAATGTGGGCTGAAGCACTCATATCTGCGAAGGAGATTCCAGTAATATGGCAAGGAAAGCAGCCCTGACCGAGCAGACAGAGAGCGCGCTTGCAGGAAACGGCCGAGACGGAGATCCAGGCTTGGCGAGGCTTGGTCTCGCCCGCCGTAGGGTACCAGGCATGCACACATCCCGAGTTTCCCCTTCTGTGCCTGCAACACGACAGGCTAACCGGAAGCTGTCGGCTGCTTTATCCTTGTCTGAGTTGGTTCTGGAAAGGCAGGACATTTTGGCTGTAAGATCAGTTCTGACGCAGGCAACTGGGGTGGGTTGACCACCCTACACACCAACTGTGTGGTGATGTAAGTTCATGTTTGCTCATGAGCATTTGACTGTGCCTGGCACTCAGTGGGCCTGGAAATGAGAGCTGCTGGTGGGCATTCAGCAGAGCCAAGAACTGCCCCAATGTGATTTAGTTCACGCACAGGGGCTGACATTACTGATTTATTTTTTACAGAGAAAGACTCAAAGAAGTCGGTGATCTATTAAGGACACAGCAGACAAAGGAGCTGAGACTCCAGCGCGGGGCTGCCAACCCCCGAGCCAAAGCGCTTCCCTTTCCACAGTGCCACAGCTCCACAGGCCAAGGATATTTTCAGCAACCAAAACAATTCCAATAGCTCTCATTTTTGTGCTATTTTCTCAAACTATAAATGTTCCCTTTTGGAAACAGCATTGCAAAGTAGTTAGACATCACAAAGTCGTTAGTCGAGATCATTCTGTGAATGTGAAATTTTGAAAGCACTGAATTCTTGGTACAGCGATAAAGTAAATTTCATTGAAAGTTATCGTCAGAAATCATTTGGGGAGTTTTATTTTCCCACATCAGGATTCAATAAAACAACAAGGCAGGGCCATGCCTGACCCCAGGAGGGGATTGTTTGTCATGCACATACCCGTATCTGGCGAGATTATCAGGTGCCCCTTTTGGTAATGATTTCTAGGCAGTGGTAAGATTTCTGCCCTGAACCTCCTCCTTGTAGTGTACACGTCATCATGTTCCTGGACAGGATTCACTCCCCAGTGCCCAACAGCATCAGTCAAGTCATTGAGACTGTACATCCCGTGGCTGTGTGCTACGGCGCTTGGTTTGAAGATCCATTATTGTTGAAAATGTGCCCATCTCGCCCACCTCACACAGCTCCTGCAGACCATGCCCTGCTGCCACGACCACAGAGGCTTCACAAGATGCAGTTACCACTTCAGTAGCACGGCTGGCACTCACTGAACTCTGAGTAAATGAAGACTTCTCGGTAGGCTGCCAGCTCAGGGCTGTAAGTTACTGTTACATTAAGCCAGCTGTTGCAAGCATAATGAGGAGGTGCAAAGGGGAAGGGTGGCAATGCTGTCCCAGCCATCCTAAAAGATGGAGTCTTTCTCCTTAGGGCAAGAAAATGGAAGTCTGAGCATCAGCCCAGGAAATGCTGCAGAAACAAAATAGAGAGTTGCGTTTGAATGGCAAGGTTCCCTAGAAAGAGCGAGATGCTCCCTGCACTTTCCACTTCTCCTGGAAGGAGACTGGAATAAATATTTTATAATTCAGAAGATGTTGCTTGGAGTTATGTTTTATGAACAGAATCCAAAATGCAGGCTCTGCTTATAACATAAATTCACAAGTTTGGAAACGTTTACAAAGTTCTGAACTTAGGTGAAACATGGGTCAACAAGCTCCTCATGACCCGGATTCCTCCAGATGAGCCATGGTCACCCACAGAACCCCAAGGCGTTGGCACAGCGGGGCCAGGCAAGCAGAAGTTCTAGTTCCAGAGAAGGTTCAGTGAGACCTTCTCTGTTAATTTGGAGAACATCCCAGTGCCCAGCAAAGAGGATAAAACTATGACCTCCCCCAATTCCATATCATGGTCATGAAACTACTTGAAATTCACCTTCTGTAAGGAAGCCTCTTGGCCAGCATCCTTTTCCCCCAGTAGGGCTCAGCACACCTCTTTTATGTTCAGCTGAGTCTTGGAAGGATTTGATCACAGCAGTAAGTTCCGCATCTCTGTCTTCACTTCCACCTGCGCCCCCACCGGATCCTGCTCTGTGGTCCATGAGATGCTTGGTTTTCTCTTCACTGCTGCATGTGCTGCTTGTCAATCTCTTCTGGCACTGGACTTCAAACAGCTCAACACACTGAGCGCCGGCTATCTTGAGGACCCAGCAGCAGAAAGAGAGTACTTCAGGACTAAGTTGCTGTGGGACGGCACAGTTTTCATTTAAAAGTTCAGGTCAATTGTGATGACTTTTTAAGCCATCCATGTGCATCGAAATATAACAATAACATCTAAAATTTCTCTTTAGCTAGAATA